TTTTCTTTTTCTGTTTTCCTGTTCTCTTAAGTTTTTAAATCTTTTTTCTCATGGTTTTTCCCCTTAAATAGCTTAGCATAGAGGGTTGTTTTCACAATATTGGATGGATGGATGGATGGATGGATGGATGGATGGATGGATGGATGGACGGACAGGTGGCTAGGTTTCTTCTTTAAATCATGTTGTGTTTTATACAACTGTAATATAGTTATATAATCATAAGGCTAATTATATATAATACTACAACGTAATAAGAAATGTTAATAACTTTAAAGTTTGATAAATATTTTCTTTAAAAAAGAACTGCGGTTTGGTGTAGAGGCTAAGACGTAGCTTCAGTCCGTTCCATTTACTCAAGAATAAGAGCATTTAAACTCTAGGAGGAGGCGCTGCGTCTCAATAAAAGAACAGGATTATGCTGAATATCTTCAAAACCATTGCCTCAGTCTGTTCGTATTATCTCACAGCGCATCTGTGTCTATTTCCTTGGATCCCAATGGCACCATGATAAGAGATAACAGAGGCAACACGTACATTGTCTCTGCTGCCTTTATAGCAAAATAACCGTTAGCTCCCCATCAGATCTCCCAAGCTGAAGCTGTTGAAGGCTCTGGGCTTGCCGCCTTCTTACCACAAGAAGCATTAGCAAGACTGAACAAGCTTCTCTATAAACTCAGAGACAACCGGGGCTGGGAGCAAAGTGGGTTGCTGGCATCCTTTCCACCTGGGCTTTATGGAATTAGCCAGAGAGTGCGCGGATCAAAGACTCTGCCCATTCTGGCTCTAATCTCAGGTCAAAGCCCATTCCCGGGAATCTGTTAAGATGTGAGAAGATCTGTCCCCTTGCAGTTTAGAGGAACATAGGGAAACGGGGGCCAACCTCAAAACTAATACACTTTTGTTTCAGGTATATATTTGTCCACCAACATGCCACCACATCTGGAAGGCACTAGGCTGGGGAAGGCTGGTATAGCAGGAGTTTAAAAAGCTCAGGCTTGAATGGCTTAATCTTACATGAACAATGCATTTAATGTCATGGTTTTGCAGTTGTAAAGTTCCTTCACAGCATTCCTTCTTGGCCAGCATGTGCAGACATCCATCCAACAGTAGAAGAGAAGAGAGGAGAGATGGTGGAAAGGAATCGATATTGTTTCAATAAACATAGATTTGAGTTTTACTTCGGGGCTTGACTAGCACTCATCACCTGAGAAAGGAAAAGTAAACCTGGTTATTTATTGCTCTTGGATACCATATAAAAACCAAACTTTGAGTCCTCAAGAAATCTGGGCTGTTGCTGATGCTCATGTTGCCCTGCTTGATATCAACCTAAATCATTTTTTTTTATTTCTCCCTCTCCCTCCTTTTATTTTTTTTAGATGAAAAGGGCTTCCTGCCTTGCAGAAAAGAAGAACTTCAGTGCAGGGATGGCTTCTGTTTGATAAATTGGCTTCTTTGCCACTACAGGAAGGTCTGTGGCAAAGAGTATGACTCCATCACAGTGACATGTTCAGGTGAATGACTTTTGGGTGCATCAGGCATGTTTCACACATGGCCATTCAGTTGGGATGTCTGTGGCCCCTGATCTTTGCTGTTACTTATCACAGGATGGAGTTGTGTTGTTGGGTGGCTATGCATAACATGATGTCAACCTTTAGTGAGCTGTTTCTTGAATATTTTGTAAGAGTTGAGGAGAACATTAAAGAGAAGCAGAGTCCTACTTTCAGAACACTGCAGAGGGATCATATTCTATTCCACATCAAAAGTCCCTGCATAAGGAAAAGTAGGCACATTAGGGATAAATGTTCTAGGTTAACCTCACCTTTCCCAAAACATGCTACTGTCTATGAGCAGGGAGATTTGGATAAGAAAACAATCAGCCTCATCAGTAGCAAAAATTCTGAATATGTCTCAAATTGAGCTACATGTAGTGAGTTTTCAAATCATGAAGAATTAAAAAAATATGCATAAGGAACAATGTCTTTGCAGGAAGGCATGTCAAGGAGGTTAAACATTTGGGAGTACTTTCGCAAATGAGACATATTAAGACTGTGTACTCAAGGTCACTTAATGCAAATTAATTACCTCTTAATGGTATTTAATTATTCCATCTTACTTGCCGTTAAGAGTACTGGAATTTTAAATGAGGGTTTATTGGTCAAGGGAAATAATATGTTAGCAACGGTGAAGTTACAAATGTGATGTGTCATGTCTTCTGTACTTAGCAATATAGAGAACAGAACTGTGACCTTGGGTAAGAGCATTTTTCCTCTATAAAGGTACATAGACATAAAGCAGCATGTAAGGCAGAGCAACAACACAGTCAGTTTGAAAGGCTGTCACATAAGATTTGACTCTTTAAGTTGAAGAATTATGCTGGGACAGATTTCCTCTTCTTTGGGGACAAACACAAGTTTGACAACATTCATTGTGGATTGCCAGTTGATATTGTTGACCTGAAGAAAGTAATCTCTAGTCCAAAAGAGTTTTATGGTACCTTAAACTATCCTTCCCCAATTTGAATGCCCTCCAAATAGGTGAACTTCAACTCCCAACATATCTAGGAAATTGAAGTCCAGAAAATATCTAGGGAATTCTGTGGATTGATCCACTTATCCAGAGGGTTTCCAGGTTGGGAAAGATTGCCCTAAAGACTTAGCAACTTTAGTATGGCATACATGTTCATGCAGTCAAGTCTTGTTCATCACATTTGTTTGCATCAAGTGCATGGATACATACGGGCAAAGTTATAAAGACAAAGAAATGTTGACGGGTTCTAGAATGTAAACAAGTGAAATCTCTAACAATTCTATTAAATTAAAATAATTATGCAAAATGAAGACCACAGACTCTCACAGAAACAATCAGTGATAGGATAGTGCATAGTGTTTCTTGCAAATAAGCATCACTCAGACCGGAGAGAGTGCCTATTTCTAACAATAGTGTTAATAGACAAAAAATCATAATCCGATTTGCTACAGAAGCATCAGTGCAACTATGGGAAATGCAAATGCTGGGTGAAGTCATTTTTGCAAAACCTCCAGAAGTACACTTTAAGGTGTAGAATATACAGTATTAATAACCTGCTTCTTTGTTATTTCTATCTCCTACCGGCTTTTGGGAAATGTTTGGTGAATGCTGTATCATTGCAGATCTTAAGAAAAGTATCTCAGGGACAAGATGGAATCTTTTCTCTGTACAGCTTTTTTGGACAGACTATGTGTTGTGGTTATGATTTAGATTCAGTTCTTCCCCGAAGTTTTAAAAAATGCATTTATCCATTTATAGCCTGCCTTTCTGCTCAAACTGAACATTAATGATGGAATTAATCACTTCATCACCTTCAGCTAGAGGAGAAATAGGATCATAGCATTATACAAATGAAAAGGGCCATTTAGGTCAAATCCAGGAAATCCACATCAGGAAATCGTACATTAAAGCATTTCCAGCTAGTATCTGTCCAGCCTCTACTTGTGCATATCTAGTAAAAGGAAGCTAATTGGTTATACTATCAGTCTGCTGTTACTATTGAGGTTTTCCTAAAATTCTACCAGAATCTGCCTTCCTAGAACTTACTCTGTGTCTTGAATTATGGGACAACTGAGACAAAATCTCAACCTTTTTCTATATGACAACCCTTCTGGCATTTGAAGAGCAATATCAAATCCCCTCTCCCTTTCTCTTCAAGGCTAAATATACCCAGTTCCTCCCAGTGTTTTCCCCAGAACTTAATTTCTTGTCTTTTGATTGTTCTCATTGCTGTTCTCTGAATTGGTCCTAGTTTCTCTCAATTGTCGCTGAAATTTAGTGCCCAAGACTAGTCAGGGTGAACTGATTAATTTAGAATTTAGAAGCTCTACTGATGCAGCTTAAAACTGCATTTGCTTTTTTTTTTTTTTTTTTGGTCAGTCATTTCTCATTGCTGACTCTACAATTCCAGGATCCTTTTCATATCTTGTAAATACTGAGTAAGGTATTCCTCATCCTCTACTCGAGCTTTTGACTTCTTTTTCTTAAGTGGATAATTTGGAAAAGTACTCAGCATTACACACACACAAGTATGTATAAATAATGTGATGGTAGAGAGTTTACACGATGGAAAAAAGCTAGCTTTATCCAAATAGCATGGTTGCCAAGGGATTCTGTCATCCCTGCTAGAAACACTGCATAATGAGAAGTGACTTCCAGCCAAACACTCAATAATGAGAAACAGCTTCAGGCGAAATAACATGTATTTATAAATGTTACTTCTAAAGAGTGGGGGAAGGAAGAGACTAAGTATTAAACCATTACAACATTAAACATACTCTCAGAAACTTTTTTTATAGTAGTTTTATTAAAAATTGCAATTATATACTCTAAGAAACCATAGTGCAGTTGCACACTAGCTAAGAGAAACACAGTTGTAGGAAAACATTTGAGGAATTGTCAAGTCTTCTTATATTGCTTCCTCCCACCATTTTTTTTAAGGAATAATGAGAAATTAGGGAGTGCTTTTCCTGGTCATATTTACTAAAGGCCATTGTGTGTTAAGGATACATTACTAGGGAGGAAAGACCTGTTTTTCAGAAATTGCTAAGTTAGTTTACTGCGTATTTCCATATGGATGCACAATCATCTTTGTTCCTGCAGTTTGGGAGGTTAGTTTAATCCAGAATGAGGGGGAGTAATGATACTTCCAAGACCATGCTCCTTTTGAGCAAAATATCTTCCCTGATGATGAGCTTGAGAAGATTAGTTTCCACAAACTCCTTGGTAAATCTGAAAGTGCTAGAGTCTCAATCTTCTTGAAGTCTCGTGCAGTTTCAAATGGCTTTACAAAGAAAGTGCAAAGAAACTCCATTATCAAAGCAATTTATTTCCGAAGGCTAGCTAATAAGGACCACCAACAAGGAAAGACTATCATGCTTTGAATTCATTTTATGAAATCCTAAGTCTCATGTGACTGACTAGTGTTGGACCCTAGCCTAGATAAATATGGACCTGATTCAGGCTGGCAGTTCTTAACTTCATCTTCTGTAGTGCAATCGGCATTTTCAGGTATAATCCAATTTCAATTGCCTGCACTATAAAAGAGGCCCTTCAACCTTTTATCTTGAACTCATTCCTTTTAAAACAGAGTATTTTATACTAGGATAATACAGGAATTGATAAGCCAGGAGTCCCTGTCTTTTCAGGAAGTTCAATAGCGGTTACTAGGCATTCTCATAAAGGAGGCTTCCACATTCACAACATGGTTGTTCCAGTGGCTGTGGTCACTCCATGTCATCCTTCAGAATGCTTTTTAGTGTTCTGGATCATGTTACCTGTTGCTTTAAAAAAAAAAAAAATCCCTGGGCCAATGGACATATTTGCAAATGAAGCAGGTGGCTGAAATCACTGGTCATTTCAATTTTCCAAAAAATGTTTATTTCCCTTACTGGAAATAAGGAAAATGCTGTAAATGGGCATTGTGCTTTGCAAAATGTCAGCTTACTCATGAATGTATTTTTTTCTTTACGTTTTTCAAGTGTGATGGGCAGCATCCTATCGGGCACTAAGAGAGACCTGTGATCAGCGCTCACTGGCATCATTTTCAGGAGTCTAGAAATAGGTTTACCAAACTAGCTGGCCACTTTGCATTGGTCAGAAGGGGTTCCATGAATCAAAGAAATGTTGCTAGGAGGGTATTGGCAGAATATCACAGTAACTGCCTAATGACAAAATCAACCAGGAAGTGATTTGCAAATTACCTCTAGTCTGCTGAGTCATTAATGTCTAACCTAATATCCTGAGTTCTTTAATGGCTGAAGGAAAGGAAATGATGAGAAATTTTTGTTTGTTTGTTTGTTTTTTGTTCTGGCTTTTTAAAGGAAGCTGGTCCCCACAGCATCTGTTCAGAAAGAATTCTTTGTGCCTATCTGTTATAATGGATGTGTTTCAAGGGAAGCAATTCAGGAAGGCAGAATTGCCAAGATAGTTTATTAGGGGGAAAGTGAGAGCAATAACTGCTGATGAAAACAAAAACAGCAACTCTGATAGGATAACATTATTCTAAGGGTAAAATACTGGTAGAAGCAGGGTTTATTTAGTGCTACAGCTGTGTTAACACTTGGTTAGCTTTATACGTGTCTGTGTGTATGTCTGTGTGGCTTATGTTGTTTCCATATAGCTGTGAGGATTACAATGGGTGAAGTCAGAAACAAATGCCTGTTCATTTCAATAAGAGTACATGGGGGCCAACCACTTATCCTGCTGAGAATCAAGCCAGTCCTCACCCAGTATGACATAAAAGTGAGGGAAAGAGACATTTGGATCTTGGGGCAGGTAGGTAGGTAGAATGACTTGAGTTATAGAGTTTATAGTTTTTCTTCGTTACTTTTTTGTATTTGTGTCCTTGAATCTCAGGCCGTGAGCCTTCTAATTCAACTATCAGTCAAAACGAAGTATAATATGTGCTCCTTTGGTTACCATATGGTTCAGTGTCTTGTGCAAACTCAGAAAATGGATTAATTCAGTAACCAAAATAAGTGCA